GGAACAGGTGGAAAGACCTATGTAAGTTCTTTATAAGTACGACGAAGGCGTACTAAGTAGATCGCAAATTGAGTAGTATTTAATGTATTCCTATCTTTTACCACCTTTACTCTTGTTTTACCCTGAGACCTAGTTCTTGATTCTGACTAGAACCGCGATTGTGGCTTTCAGCATTGTGAACGCAAATATTCTATCTTTCAACTCCTTCTATCGATCATTAGCAGTCAAAAAACCACACCTGATGACTGAAACAATCCACCTTCCTTCGTTCCTAACGACATTTAGCCACGCTGATCAATAGACTCCACTTATTGCATACATTCAATACATTCTCGAGCTTTTGGTAAAGGGAGGTCCACGATGTTTCGAGAATCAAATATTATGTATATAGGATCGGCGACTTAACGCTGATCGTATGTATTCTGTATCACGCTCGTCATTCGTATTTTATTAATCAATTATGACATTTCGTTTGTGTAGATTTTGGGTTCTGATCCAATTCTAAAGATATCCATACAAGCCTGTATCAATCAGAAGCTGATAATTTTGTGCAGCATTCTTCAGGCCAAAAGGCGTTCGCAATATCTCAATCAGACCGGAAGAATAATAAAAGCCAAGATCATTCTCTAGCGCTCCACCATTTCTACGACCCGTAAGCTACTTGCTATATCCCGGGAACAATATAACATAGTTTAGCTATGTCTTGGAGAATCTCGCTGATCAACGGCATAGGAAACACCATTAATCTTTTTAGATGGCTCAACCTTCGTTAATCTATACACAATCCAATATCGATGACGTATTTTTTAAATGGTTACTACGATCGGCTATGCCCAAAGATAAATAGACGGTAGAAAGATCTAGCGCACACGTTGCGCGATCGGGGCAGCTCCACCAACATCGATATTACAAACTGCACCACGTGCTGTAAGAGGTAGTGCGTTACCTTTAATAATTAAAAGGTGGAGATTCCTCTAATCAGCTGTCGCAACTGTTCCTACTTCTCGATCAGTTAGTGGCTCTCTTGGATATCATCAATAGTAACGTTTGTTGTGGGTGTCACAATGTCCGGTAGTATCGCCATGTGTTGATCCACATCTTTCGCAAACAATACGCCACTTTCTTGAAAGTATGTTGACTGCTGAAGTGTTTCCTTGTCTGCTGAAAGTTTCATTGAAGCGATGAAGTTGACATATTGACCGGTGGATCGCACTGACTTTGAGAATACCCGCCTTAGTCCTGGCTAGGTGAAGATTTATTGGTCAAAAACGATAGGTCTTCGTCATAAAACCTTTGAATGTTAAATTTGGACCAAGAAGTTGAAGGATATGCAGAAGTAAACGTTGCCAGCACGAAGATCGAAGGAGGATGATCCATTTAAGTCATCCAATTATGGCGATTTAGTTAAGTCCGTGGATCAAGACAGTCAAGGGAAGTTACTGGATCATGCACGTCCCTTCAAGTTTGTGAAAGACGGCGATCATATCAATTTAGAAGGATGGCAGCTGGATCAGATAGCCCACGAATTTGACAGGAAAGAATTTAATGTGCTGTTGCTACATTATCCTGTGCTTTAAAACATGATAAAAAAGCTGATCGGAGCGTTGAAAGGTCCAGTGTCGACACTGACACCGATGACGAACTCACTGAACAATATCCGCCTGCTGATGAGGCTGTTTCAAGACGCTGAATTTACTGCTGGCTCGTATAAAAACCACAGACTACTCGATTGCGATCACGTATCAGGTGATTGACGCAGCGCGATCGCTGTCTAACAAAAGAGTTCCTATGACTGATGTGAAGAAATCGACAGATCAGCTGAACAACCAGGAACGAGCCAGTCCAAATGAGCAGCACACTGGATCTTAACAGTTTGTCTCGGCAAATTCTGATGCCTTCTCGGAAGAGTCGATCGAGAATGAAAGAACGTCGCGTGGATTTACAGTTGCAGCATCATATCGTGATCGCAAGGTTTCGATCAAGGCTGAGACGCGATCTAGGATTCAATCTTCGCTTGACAGTATCAGACCAATCGGATCAAGCCAGTTATGATCGTATTTTGATGCAGCTATTAGAAGTGTGTACGCAAACAACAGACCACACAGGGGACACTCGCTCCGAATGATTGATCAAGAATTACCTCGGGTCGCCGATCGTACATTCCAGATATTGAGATGAAATTAGCGGGCCATCGTAGTCGGTCACACGAGTATGACCCGGACAATCGTGGCCTGAATGATCCTCGACGACGGCGATAGCAACCGCAGAGGCTATTTCAAGCAAAAGAACTACTACTCAGCGTATTTGAGCCTCGGCGATTGCAGATCTGAAAGAGTTACCGGCAGAGATACGGCTGGGGATCAAGCCAAAAGTTGAATCAGCAAGGTCAAGTCTACATTCCTACACGATCAGGACCAGATGTATAACGTTTTTTGGGTTTCAGCAATTTACTTACAGTACCAGCGCGTAATCAGTGCATATGGAATAACGCAGTCGGAAAGAGGCCCAAGGCTCAACGACGAACATGATCCGGATGATACCTAAAGGGCTGGTTTATCCAATGCTTCAGAAGAATAATTGTCCTTCGATCAAAAGGATGGTGATACTTTCGCTTGTTGTTTATTCTTTCCCACTCGATCGATTTTGGTTTAAGCTGTAAACAAGATAAAGGGTCCATATCGGATGGGCGGAGATCGCTTGAAGCCTACAATTTTGCTCGATCGACCTTGATCACTTGATTGTTGGACGTTCGTTGAAGCTTGTGGGGGTGGATTAATGTACCTGGGGGTACTAGACGATCGAGATCGGATCCGACAGGACAGCGTCGCGGTAGGGGCTGGAAGATCGCGAATGCGCTTAGGTGCACACGAAGTCGATCTTAAGGAAGGCTGCGAAAGAATCGACTCCAGATTTGCCAGCTGATCACGAAGTACATCGAGATCATGGATGGCGTTATCTCGCTCTGCCTCCCTACGGTTGACCTCGACCTGCAGTCGACTGATGATGGCGTCTCTATCCGCGACGTCATGAACAGCCGATCGCATCTTGGCTGCAGGTCGGTTATGTCGGCTTGCGATCTCGATATTACGTTTGGAATGGGCCCATCGTATTTATACGTAATAAGATATTCGAGATCCGCCAGCCGGGGTTTGGTTCCAGGATGCACGCGACAAGCACTGGTGGATTAATTGAGCGCGGATCGCAACCGTTGTTTTTTTTGAGATTGATAAACCCGATCGCTCCATTCGTTTTGGAATTCGATAGACTCTTGGGTCCCTGCGTGTAGTTGACACAGGGATATGTGATATCTCCGCTGTACATAAACGAAGACGCGGATCTCAGCAGGTACGCGATCTCTTCCTCCAGCCCATCGTCTCTGGTCATTTGGGATTGCAAGGTGTCTTCGAGCTCACCGTAGCGATCCGCTATCTTCTGCTGAGCTTACAACTGTCCAAATAGGGAATCCAACAGAGTTTCCAACTCAGCCTGGTCCAAATAGAGAATCCAACAGAGTTTCCAACTCGGCCTGATCCACGGTGAATAACACACTTTCCCACTTGGAAGCAGCGACGGGAGATTCCGTGCAATTGCGGATCGTGATCGCGGGTCGGATCCAGAACCAAGTGGTGATGCTGTATCAAGACCTAAGGAGATCGTGATAGAAGACATAAAGCTAGAACGTGGAGGGAGATCGGCAAACTGGGATATCTCGGGATCGGACACTAGATTTCGCGATCGGGACAGATCCAGGAGAGATCTCGATCGAGGAGGACATTTGTTTGGGAGTAGAAGACGAAGACGAAGAATGAGCGGCAATGGCCGCAGGAGATATTGGGAAGAAGACTCGGATGCACGATTACTTTGACATTGGATGTCGGATACCAGTGTAGGACGATTGTGGGGAAGTGAAGATTGTATGAATGGTCTTTTCGGGGCGATCGGGTTTCAGCATGGCACTGAAATTTTTGATGAGCACCCGAAGTTGAAGCTTGGTCTGTCCCCAGAATGGTTGCTTCGCTGGTGTGCAGCAGAGAAATATCACCGTTGCGAGAGACTTGGTTTGTTTTAGTCCGTCAATGAAAACGTTTGATAAGCGCCCGGGGTTGAAGCTAATCTGTACCCAAAACGACGGCTTTGCTGGTGTATAGTAGCGAAATATCAGCGTTGCAAACTATTTGTCTAGTCGGTGATGTCAAAGCAGAGTGACAATGACGGTACCTGCATATGCCAATCTTGTTTCCCATGCTTTGGCAAATTCTTTCTGATGTCCTCCATATTGACAAAGGTACGCAAATTTGATCTTAAAATTTTGTAAAAATTGTACGATAATCAAACTGTGGTTGTAAAGTTGTTTGATCATAAATTATGTCTACAACACGGTACAGAAATCAAGACGCAACTGCTGAGCAGATCTCTGCAATAGTTAAAATTATAATATGTGCAAGTGACAGAAGGTCCGACACGTAATATTTATTTTAGGCTAAGAAAAATAAGACGTCAAATAAATTTAATGCTGTTAGCCCTACGCATTTGATGTATTTAAATTGTCAGCATCCTTTACATTTTAGCGAGCGTTTACTTGTTCTTCCTGCTATAACGTTCTTCCCAAAAACAAATAAACGATCGCTTAAACATGAAGAAAGGATGCGAACAATTCAAGTCCATCGAATGCGTAAGCATAAGATATTTAATTAAAAAGCATTGTCTACTTTATTTCTGTAAAAAAACGTACGCACCGATACAATCTTTCCTAGTCATATCACATGTCATTTTCCTAAGCAAGTCTTGCCACACGGTTTGTAAAAATAGTATCAACGCTTTAATAGGCAGAGCACTGATTTCCTAGGGATAGATGTGTGTCCAGGCAGGTACTGACGAAATTTAAAAATATATAACGAGTAAGCAGGTTATAACGTCCATAACGTCCAGATAACACTCACAAAAGCGTGTTTGGATGAACCGTCGTCACTTGTGGAGCTATAGATGTACCATCCACAGCTTTACGATAGCTCGGCAAGCGCGCGCTGAACTAGCGGTGCGACCTGTTTTCTTGAAGCACCTGTGTTAAGCTGATTGAAAGCGATCATGTGCTCATTCCGATGAGTCTCAGGTAGCTGGAAGGGATCCAACAGTAGCGAACCTTCCTCTTTTAAAAATGCCACACAGTGCTGAGCATCGTCTCCGATCTCCTGAAAAAATAACAACTGGCGATGGCGTTTTCCGTGAGACGTCCTGAACATGGTCATCACCACCAAAAACGCCAGATCATTCTGTTTGCAGTACACGACCAGTTTCTTGCGTAATGCAGTCGCATCTTTTAATTTGAAAACAAATGCAACCAAATCAACCAGCACCACGCTAATGCCCACCTTCTTTGCAAATGTAAACTCCTTGTAATCCACCTGCAGACAATTCTCAAGGGTGAATGAGTCCCAATGCACAGGGTTAAACTTTTCTTGTTGCAGCCACTTGAATAGCTCCTCTTTCTTTGCAAACGCCGTTTCTTCCAAATTCTGAGCCGCTTTCACATCTCGTGGTGTCACTTTCTTGGCACCTGGATCAAAATTGATGCTATCTAATGCAATCACCCCAAGCAACATCGTCGACAGCATCCTGTGTGCATTATGGTATACAACCTCCTTCAATCTTTCTGCCACTAATGTACATGTACTAGCGACAAGAGCATTACCATCAGCAAAGGCTATCTCTCTCTTTTCCGCGTCTATATGCTGGCCCAGATCACAGTGATGATCTATGATCTCCACGACCTGCATTCCTTTAAGTGCTGGAATCTTCTTGTTACTCAATGCATTATGATCCAGTAATGTAACCTTCACTTTGGATTTGATAATGTCCCATGGAAATTCATCCACAAACACGAGAGCATCAGTGTTAACCTCCAGCGTCTGGAATAGGGCGGTGACGTCACAACGTAGTATCAGTTCGTTTCGGTATATGGGTATTACAGGCACGCAGAGTGTCTCTGGCTGCAGTTGAGTGTGGATAAAAGCATAGGTCAAGGAACTGACGATAGAGTCGGCGTCGGCCGCTTCATTACCCAAAAGTACGTGAACGTTAGCAGGTAGACGTAACTTTTGTACATTCAAACGTATACAAGAGAGAAATTCATTGAAGGCCGCGACACTGGAGCGACGTGTATTGAGGCTAACCTGCCATTTAATACAGAAAGAAGAGTATCGAGACATCGGATTTTGCTTGGACACAAGACGTTGAAGCATATGAAAACATTGCGAAGCGTTATTCATGTGGACCACGCGTTTTCAAACATTTATTATCTTTACTTTGTAAGAATGAGTCAATAACAAAACAGTGAAACAGTCGATTCTAATAACGAGGTAAGCAACATACAGTATTTATATATACCGCTACTATCTCTCCTTGTTTACTCTACGTGGCTTTCTCTCTTTTTTTCATCATGATAATCATCATCATCATCATGATTATCATGATCATTATCATCTCTCTTCCTCGTTATTCTATCATCTCGTTTTTCTATCGTATCTAATTTTTCAATCGATTCATACGATTTCTCATTTCCTCTTTTTCTTCTTCATATCTTTTCTTCCTTCATCGATATATTCGTATAGAAACATGTTAGTGACTTTTGAGATTGGATCTACCAATAATTCTCAAGTACTACTGAGTCTCGCTGCTCGAGTGGTATTACTTTTGACAATCTTCTTCTTTCTATCACAAAGTATTGTATATGGACGTGTCCTGTCTCATCAATACGTACTTCAATGTAAACGTCTATCTTACAGTCTTTCTTTAGCATCTTCAATTGAGATTCATGAAGGAACGACCCTAGCAGATAAACGACCCTATTCTTCTGTTCCTGAAGCTCCTGTTGCTTCTGTGAATGTCGTAGGCGGCTCGGAGTCTGCTTTGATGGAAGAAGAGGAACCAGCAGCAGCTTCTACGGCTCTGAAATGAGACAGAGACTCTTTCTGTTGCTCTTTATGGCATCAACACTTCGTGTCTGCTCCCTGTTCACAGAAGTGGTGATGTTGGAGACAATGACAGCTCTTCCGTCAACATCAGTATGTTGCAGACTATTGGCACTGCTCCTTGTGGTTGCCGTCCATGTTGTTTGTATCCATCAACAGCCTCGTGCACAGTTGTGCTATGCCTGTTGGTACAAAGCATACCATGGCCAAGAAGGGCATTTTTCTGTTTCATCTGCTCCTCTATGTTGCTTTGTGCTGCTGTGTGGGTTGACGACCACATCAGCGAGACTTTGGAAGGCTGTGACTTGTTGCAAGGAGGTGTCTACTTTGTGGGGCTAATTGTGATCGGTATTATAGCATCCGACTCATTCATTTCTTTCGTGACCAAAGCCCCGATGAAGATTTCTTCTTTGACTTGTCGTCAGCGGCAATGAGGAATGACAGCGGTTTTACTGGACGCCAGGGAGTGTCCTCGCTCTCCGCCTAGGCTGTTTCTCCGAGACAACTTGTACTACGAAGGGTAGGTACTGTCACTTGTAACCAGTAGACTGTAACATGCACACTGACTATCGACTTATGATCAACGTTGACGTTGATGATGTGTCAGATCACGGCTGCTATGCACCCTGCTCTGCGTTCTGTTCACTGTGAAAGCGGTATATTTGATCGGCATGGGCACTGGCTGTATGGAATTGGAAGAGTCGCAGTATCGCACTCCTCTAAGCATTCACCACACCACGTACGAATTCACCATTCAATTGTTGACTGAGTTCGTTCCCAGCGCGCTACTACTTATTCACGCGCCAGGGCAAGGGTTTGTCATCTTATCACCAACGTATTCGCTCGTCACAATCGGTATCCGCTACTTTAACTGGCGGTAGCTGCTGTACGAGAAACCAGCGTGATAAGCTCTCGGCGCCCAATTATGCTTACGCGCCTATTCGTGGTATTACACCACGTCAACCCTGCCAGGAAGATGTTATTCCAATGCTTACGGGGTATCCATATCAGGTACGCAAAACTAGGATCATAAACTGGTTTTCGTCCATTCAACTGGATGTGGCTTTATGTTTCATGTAGGCACACAAATGAGCATACGGGTCGGCTAGCAGCACAATGTTGACCTCTACAGCAAAGCTCTGATCATGCAGCATTAGCGGAGCTTTCTTGCTTGACAGCATTAGTGAAAGTGCGTTTGCCAGTGCAGGTTCTAACACGGGCCTAAACGATAAGGTGGCGTACCCTTAAACATGATACAACTCAAACAATGTCAATTGCAGGCAAACCAAAGTTTTAGTGTCGGATACTCGTGATGGCGTGTTGGATGATCATGATTACTTGCGTGTATCGACACGCCAGCACTTCGGTCGCTGACATGTGTGCTAGCTGACGACCTTGCAGGACGGTATACCAACTAACATTCACCAATGAACTCGTGCGACTGTCAGCCTGATGTTTTTTTTTCTGGCTCGTCACATATACCGACCGACATAAGGGGAACGCTCATTGACACCATCTACGTTTTGAGACAATGTTCTTCGATCTTAATGGTGGTCCAGTCGAAATGGACAAAGGTGCTGGTATTCCAGTGGGACGATACCACTAATCTAATGCCTTACACAAATAAAGTCAATCAAATGGAACTGGGTAAAAAGTGGACATTAGCAAAACCACATGCGAGGCAATTGTTTTGTTAGTGCAAAGTAGAAAAAACATCCACCGCTGTTGAAGTTTCTATCCGAACATGACAAAGCAGGCATTTATGAACACGAGAAAAACGAGTGAAGCAATAGGAGCGGCTTGTTAATGAAGCATCACCAACAAGTAGTTTTGCGTAAGGCAGTGATGCTTATATAGCAGGTTTGAAACTGATTTATATTTATGTTTATCTTCTAGCACTAAATATAGAAGGACCTACTCTATACTTAGTGCTAGTCACTATCTACTGGCTCCATAGCCTAATATTATGCAAACATGCATAGTCACTATACTTTATATAAGTATAGTGACTACGTGACGATGCGACCCTTTGTACCTTACGTACGGTCACATCGAGCCTACTCTTGTACCCAAGGTACAGCCTCACCACATTGGTGTGGCACGCGTGTATGTAAAATACGTACCTTCCTGTAACCCGTTACATGCATCGTCTGCTGCAGCATGCGTTTTTGCTTCATTTGCTTCCTTACCCTTTTGATCTTTGGCATTAGGCGCCCTTATTAACGCACTCTTTGATTTGAACATGTAAGCTTCGTCCATCAGTAAAAAATTATTAGTGATACTTGAGGCAGTTAATTCAGACTCTGGTGAAAACTGATTTACCAAACTTCGATTTCTTCTTCTTTGAACAGGATCCATTCTATCAACTTTTGGATCGGACAGGTCGCGATGAAGGAGCCCGCGGCCATGCACGCTCTTTTGGGACTGGACTTTCTCAGCCGTGTCAATTATGAACAGCTGCGCGTTGTCAGTGGTCAAGACCGCTTTCTTACTGCTAATTAGAGTGACTACAACCAGCAACACAAACTGGTACACTTTCATTGATGTCGGTGAGCTGGAAGATTGATATGAGGGGCTTCAGGAAAATTGCAGAATGATTAGATAGCAGCAAACACATAACAGTGTTAAATAAAAATCCAGTAGGGTGCCCAAGTTGTGGTACAGCAATCAAGTGCGACTGCTTAACCGATGTTCTCTGAGACGGCTCGAGAGCTTGATCCGAATGGGGTTGGAAAATACTAGAGAGGACATTACATGTCATAAACGACACAAATTTGTTAATGGACTTGTATAGGTATGAGAATAGCTCATGCTCACCAATGCCAGTGGTGGAGTACTACTTAATGTCATGCCATAGTCTTATGAGTTTGAAGATCCTGTAATCGTCTGTAATTCTTTATTATAAAGCTTAAACAGAGTTTGCTTGATTACAGTCTGTTTTGTTCAAATTCAATTTAGAAACGGAACTACTGAACATTTGAGCGGCTCGAACAGCATAAGCTAAAATATACGAGATGCCCTATTTTAATTTGCATGTGAATAACTGTATGCCAACGTGATCACAAACTTTGAAATTTATAATCATCAGATCTCGACACCATCAAACCTCAATTGCAATAGTGCGCTTTGTTTACAACACGCTTCCTTACAGTGCTTTCGACGAGCCTGATGGCCTCAGAAAGCGCTGTTGATGTCATCGCTTTTATTTATCTACACAAAAATACACTGCTTGCTATTCTTTGTCCATGTGTTCTCAAATAGCATTCTATATAAAAAGGCAATAGTTGCGAGGTTAATCAAATTCTGGGCATGCACATGTACAACAACGGTACCATATCAGCAAATGCTACCGATGTTTTGCCTTTCACGACGCCTTCTGAAGCATTTCAATGTTTAAGTGTATTGTCTGATCTTATTTAGCAATTTTTATAGATAGAGAGGGGACTAATCCGCTGCAATCATGAACTCCGTATCTCGGACGTGTGTCTTGATTGCTGTAAAAACTGAGTGCACCCTATTGAAATTTCGCTGTGTCAAATCTTCAGCCAGTAACACTGGCTCGCATATTTTAATATAGCGCATGCTCGCGTGCACACAATCAGATCAGGCTCTCCAGAACATCTGTCATGCAGTCGCGTTTTGATTTCTGTACCACATCCTGAGCACCGTACTTGATCTTACATTGTAGATACATGTATGTGTGTGCTATCGAGTGGCTATACGGCAATGAGGTCTACCATGAAGAAAGAGCAAGCGATAACAGTTGTCATAAGCTACGGTGCTGCCGTGTAATATAAGATCCACGATGGAACATATTGTCTGTGCGCGCAATCAGGCTAGAAAAGCTCACCTACCACTGGACTATAGAACAGTGATGGGAGCTTGAACGTCTTCAGATCTTTCTAGACAACAGTGCAAGCTGCTGAGTACCAGGGCTAGCCATGATAGCCCATGACCAATCAATCGTGCTTACCCCTACGCAGCGGGCGCTTACGTCATGTCGCAGCGCATATGTATCATGATCAGCAACACATGCATTATTCGGCTGAGGATACAGAGAAAATGGGCAACGCTCCAGCAGGTGAATCTGACCACCAGAGGCAGCGTTCAGGAGTTTCTGGGAAACCAACATACGTTAACTTTGCGCAATAGATAAGCGCGAGAGCAGACGCGACGCGTCGAAACGACTATCAATGGTACACGTCTGATACTCTGCCAACGCATCATAGTACGTCAACCCTGAGAGCCGTCCCCGCAGCTGACTAGCAACCACAGGCCTTGAGCGAGGAATTGTCATACGAATTGGTGGGGAGGGTGTAACGGGCCATACAAAGTTTTTTTATTGTCCCATACACAAGTGCCGCAACACTGTGGTGTGGCGGTACCTTGTGTACATTTGTACGTTTATGTGACCGTACCTAAGGCACGCAGGGTCACAACGTGGCAGACGTGGTCACTATACTTACTGAATTATAGTGATTACACCGTTCTCTTCCTTTGTAAAAAAAGTTCTATCATTGATACTATACTCTTGGAGACGTAGTTTTATATCTAATAGATATAAGCTTGTAAAGCTAGCCGTAGGAAAGTTAAGATCCCGAAGACATATAAGTTCTTTGAGCTTGTCTTCCTCGGCATTATGGATGTGAGGGAGCGGTGATCACAAAAACCTTTCTTTAATCCCAACCTCCCACTGGCGCCCAAACTGTCGACTGTCGGGGGTGGAGGGTACTACGATACCGTATGCTAGTCCTCCCTCATCTTGCGTTCTCGTCGACCTGGCTGGTTGTACTCTTCTTGGTAGATTTGCTCCGATCTTGATCGTGATGAGGGATGGGTTGAAGGGGGCGGAACGTGGAAATTCTTCACGCGATCGCAGTAAACACTGGCGCTTCAAGCTGCATTGATCCACTCTGGATTTTCCCTCATTCTCTCTTGTTTGTCATCTTTTGCTGCCTAGTAGATCTCTTAACCACTACAATCCGTCTCTTAGAGATCCTTTGCTTGAACGCTGAGTCCGATCGCAGTTGACTTGATCTGAGCATACTTGAACCCCCGGCCAAATTCTTTCAGGGATGATCTGCTGTAAGTATGTAAACTCCTTATATCATACAGGTGGCTTACGTCGCAATTTAAATAAAAACGGCCAGAAACAAGCGATCTCCGCCCATCCGATCAGGAGTTCCGACTTTATCTGCAGCTCAAACCAGACTCTATCGAAGTAGAAAGAGAAAACAGTGAGTGAAGCCATTAAAATCGAAGAATAGCAATTATTCTGAAGCATTGAATTAGAAACCCTTGAAGTATTGTCCGGATAACGTTCGTAGTAGAGACTTAGGCCTCAATCTGACAGTGTTATTCTACCTGCACTTGGATTGTCCACTCCGAGTATCGTGTTGAACTCAAAACGTTCCTCTACGTCTCCATCTCCATTGTCGCAGATCTCAAATCCAACAATATCTACGGTCGATCTCTTTAAAGAGGCTTTCAGTGACTCCAAGGGCCTTGTTAGCGTCTCCAGCGACACCCGTGAGATCTCGAACGTCGTTTCCCCCCTAATCCCTACCGCCAGCTTCCTCCGACCAAATTATCTCGCGATCGGTGGATTTCTAAGTAGAGGAATCGAGTTCCGCGATCTTCTCCTGATGTGGTCCCGTGGTCGGCAAGGAGAGTTAGTTAGATCAGCGTTGCTGAGCTTCATTTTGATCAGTTCAATCTAAGACTCTTGACACCCCGAGGAACTGTTTTTCCGATCCATGTTGGTGTACTTCGCTCGCCTTACAGGCAGGCGACATCGCCGAAGTGGTCGTTATACGATCTGAGGAGGATTTAAACTCCTCATCGCGTTTAGATAAAGCAGTTCTTGAGGATACCAAGAAGGCGCTGAATGCACGGAATGGATCACAGTTTCTGAAGGACCCTTTGGATCCTTATTTTCCTTTGTTGAAGGATATGGAGATGTTGTCTCCAGAGAACCTCCGACGAGGTACCTCCGGATAGAGGCGTACGTCATGATATTGACGTGGTCTCAGGAACTAAATACTGTGTGACGCGACAGTGGCCGTTGCCACGAGAACAATGTGACGTCATTGACGAGTTCTTTCGTGCGAAGCCTGCAGCTGGCATGGTGCGTGAGAGTAAGTCTCCTCACTTTACGCTCACGTTTTGTGTGGAGAAAGCCTAATGAGAAGTGGCGAATAGTGCATGCTTATAATAAGCTGAATGCAGCCACTATCCCGGCTCAAACACCGATTATTTGCAAAGATGTTCTTCAGAACAATATGGTGCGATGTACGATGTACAGTGCCTCTCACTTAGTCGATGGATATTACCAACTGCTCATGCGAGCTAGTGTTATCCCGCTGACAGCGGTCAGTACTCCGGGTGATATGCTCTGGGAGTGGTTAGTGATGCCAAAAGGGTTATCTAACGCACCTGCAACGTTTAATCGTCTAGTGACTCAGTTTTTTGGCCCATAGGGCGTATGCACAAAAATACTTTGAAGATATATTCGTTCATAGTCGAGCCGAGAATGGCAAGACTGATGTGGAGAATCACATCGAGCACCTGCGAGCTGTGCTCAGTTGCATGAGGATGCATAAATTGTATGCCAATATTGATAAATGCATCTTCGATGCGGAAGAGATTCCTTTTTTGGGATGCTACATTGGGAAGCGAGGAATCCGGGCAGACCCTGTTAAGGTCAAAGCCATAGTGGATTGGCCGGTTCCGAGGAACCAGAAGGACCTCCACAAGTGGTTTGGTTTGGCAAATTACTTGCACAAGTATAGCCACAACTATGCGGAAGTGGCTAGGCCATTGTCGAATCACCTTAAAAAGGATGTGAAATGGTGTTGGAACACCGAGCACCACGAGGCTTTTGAAACCATTAAGTCTCCTTCAGGCGCCAATTCTGGCTTGCCTGATCCTGATTTCCCGTTTAGCGTCGTATGTGACTATTCGAACTTTGACTTTGGCAGTGCACTTTGGCAAGTCGACTCTGAGGGTCAAGAACGAGTCATCGCGTTTGAGTCTTGCCAGCTGAAAGCTGCAGAGAAGAACTATCCAGTTCATGACAAGGAGCTACTTGCAATGAAGTATACCCTTGGTAAGTTCAGTGTACACCTGTTGGGCTAAAAGCCGTTTGTGATCTATATCGATCATGCGTCGTTACGCACAGCGACACAGTCGCCTCATTCTCGCAGAGAATGGCTCGTTGGCTCTCCTTTTTTGCGGAGTATAACTTCAAGGTAAAGTATAAGCCGGGAAACCAGAATGATTTGGCTGACGCGTTATCGCGTAGACCTGACTATGAGCTTGCTCATCTCACTGTTGTGAGTTCGTCAGTAACGGATCGTATGCGTGTGACGTATGCACGCGATGAGGCATGTGTTGCCACTATGAAGGCGCTGGGTAGCGCAGAGTTTAAAAACGCTAAGGTGATGTTGTCACCACGTAATCGTGCAAGATTGCATCGTTATGCGCTGACCGATGGTCTGTTG